GTTTATATTTTAAAACCTTCTCACCTACCTCCCACATCAATAGGGAGGAGGTTCCCCGTCGCGTTTATAACCCGTCCCCAAAAGCCCTTCCACACACACGCCCTCAGGGCAGGTACACTCGGGGGGCCCTGGACACCTGCGTGGCCACCAAGCAGGATCCCAGCTGTCCCAAGAGACCCCTCTTGGACACAGACCTACCTTGGGCTCCCGCCATCTCCGCAGAAGCTTCTGGAAACAGCCCCCCAGCCCCCTGTGTGTGGTCATTGGGAGCCATGAGGTGGTGGCTGGTGCTGCTGGCGCTGTGGCCCGTGCTGGGCGCCGCGGGCGGGAAGAGGCCTGTCCTGCCGAGCATCACGGACAAGGCCTTCATCGAGGAGTGCGTGCGCGGCCACAACGACTGCCGTGCCAAGGTCTCTCCGGCCGCCAGCAACATGCGCTACATGGTAGGCAGCGGGGGTGTCACACACACATCGCTGCTTCATCCTCAGGCATAGGAAACGCCTGAAGTAGTTGAGTTAGACACAACACGCACTAGGATGTGACCGAACAGACAAGCGAAAGAGGTTCACGTTAGCAGTAGTGCTGTGGGTACCAGAAGGGAAGGACTTTAAGGGTAGCAAAAGACGAGTGAACGCCGCTGTTGAAGGTGTGGCCTGTTCAGGAGTTAGAAGAAGTTGTATGGCGGAACCATATCACAAAGAAATAAGAGACAGTAGAATGAGTTATTGGACAAACATTGATATATTTATGCTATGAAGCAGCCATGTTGCCATGAAGCAACCCTGCCAGAGGCTCTTCTTTAGATAAAAATATTTAATATATATATATCTGAATCTACATTCTTTGGCTTGATTTTTATGTAGATAAAATAGATCCTTAATGATCTATTTCAAAGAAAAAATATAACAATTATAATTAATGTTAATAATAATATGATTAACAAATTCTACTTAATGTAAATGAAAGCAACTTTTTAATCTGAAGATAAAAATGCATTCCAAATATTTTTTTTTCAGTTGCTAGCAAGTGCTCTTACAATGTTTTTTTTTATAGACAGTAAGGGAGAAAAATGAAAGATCTTTAGCTGAGTCAGTTTATTTTTCTGTGTTGCAATAGGAAAAGTTATTGAAAATAAAACACAAGTACTTGCCTAGGTAACAGAAAGACTGTTCTTATGTAATTCCAATATGTGATACCTTGTTTCTATTTTCAATATATAATATCTTATTTCTATTTTATTCTGTCTGACTGTTTTTACCTGATGGTTAAAAGTTCTGTTGGTTGTAGTGAGGTGGGGGTCAATCTCTTCTCCGGAAAAACTGCAGATAGGCCAAGGGGAAATGTCTTCAGGTAGCATCTGGGGAGTTTCAGGTTAGACATTAGGAAGAATTGCTACACAGAAAGAGTGGCAGTGTTCAAGAAACATGTAGATGGGGGACTTACGGATGTGGTTTAGTAGGCAGGGGGGGTGAAGGGCTTAAGATTGGACTCCATGATCTTGAAGGTCTTTTCCAACCATAATGATCCCATGATTCTATGGTTCACATTGCACAACTATTTCAAATTTCATATTTTTCAGACTTGGGATGCAGCCTTGGCGAGGACTGCCAGAGCATGGGCAAATAAATGCCGTTTTCAACATAATACTCGCTTACGGGAGAAATACCAGTGCCATCCTAATTTTACATCTATTGGAGAGAATATTTGGCTCGGAAGTCATCAGATGTTCACTGTCGTTGGTGCCATTGCAACATGGTATAATGAGGTCAGATTCTATACTTTTGACACACGCAAATGTACAAAAGTTTGCGGTCATTACACTCAGGTAAGGGCTGTCTGCAGTAGAATGCCCTATATAGTTCATAGTAGAGTGCCTACCAGATAAACAGCAGGGGCTGTAAATAATAGAGTTGTATATAAGTTTTGTAGCAACTGCCGGTTTACTGTCTCTTTTTTTGGAATCTCAGGCTATAGTTATACTGCAAAGTGCCCTGCAGTGGTTAATTTTATTGCCTTTATTGCAATATTATCCTCACTGTGTATGTCCATTCATAGTCAACATTTCATTGTATAAGCACTGCAAGAACGCTATAAAATCATATCAAGATCACCAGCCAGACACCCATGCAGTTTTGAATTCTCTAAGTTCAAAGATCCTCTTTGAAAGAATCATAGTAACTGCAGAATAGCTATGAGAACTCACTAAAAATGTTAACAGAATGAGACAACAGAAACTAAGACACAAGCAGGGTGCATGAGTTAAGCACTAATGAAAATGTAAAAGTAACTAACCATTGCCTCAAAATCGATAGGCAAAGACTCTGCATGATCCAGGAGCTATCACAGACCTCTAGGCTCAGACTTGAAATTGAGTAATAATCACAAATCATAGATAGATCATGTAGAGCTGCCAATATAGCGACAGAAATCTCAACAGAAATATGCAAAAAAGCTTGTGAAACTGTTACACAGAGGCCTGTGAAATGCTCAGTCCTTGCTCCAGTATCCAGGTAACACATGATTAAACATTAAGATCCTGTTCCAAGAACGATTGCATCTGCTGAACATAAGTACTTCTAGTTGAAGAGTTGGAAATTTTGAGACTGTTCAAATCACTTTGATAGGTCTGTATTCTTTGTGGTGGGAAAATCCTGGGATTAATCCATTACATCCCTGAGTTTCCCAAAAGTGGACTATATGATCATCCAGATCTAGATATATGTTCCAGCAGTTTTTAAATGGCTTCAGTACAGTTTAGTTGGTCACATGCCAAAGGTGTAGGAAGACTCTCCAGCAATAAGCACAGGATATTCAAGCAAGAACAGAGACAGTGAGACATAGTAAACCATCTTTTTTTTTTCATTATGGAATATACCTCTGAAAGCTTTAGCATTGCATAGCTTTCAGACTAAGCTGTGTTAAATTTGCTGCTGGGGTCAGCCAAACCACTGTCCTCAAACTGGAAAATCCCTGCTTGGAGTCCTGAGTTAGCAGTGTTGAAACTAATTAAACTATTTGAAAATTGCCATTAATTGCCTTTTCTTTTCTTGGAAAAAAACACATGGATCATGTAACCCATGACTCTTACTAAAATTCTGTAGGTGACTGGAAATTTGCAGAATTTGTTCACTTAATCTTGAAATTTGAATAAATATAGAATATAATAGATAATGTAATAATATAATAGATAATATAGACAGATTTGAATCTTGCAGTGTGAATATTTAGAAGTTCATCTTAAAAAGCTTGCTTACCAGTAAAATTCTCTGCGAGTAAACAGATCAGGGGTTGCAAAAGAAAAATAATATATAGAATCTCTGAAAATAATTGAAATTACCTAGATATTCCAACAGGTTAGCATTGAGTACAGTTTTCACTTATTTTAAAAACCTTTTTTTAGGTTGTTTGGGACCGTTCCTATAAAGTAGGCTGTGCTGTTGCTTTTTGTAAGAAAGTTGGAGCATTCAAAAATGCAGCACTTTTTGTATGTAACTATGCACCAGGGTAAGTTGTTATTTTAAATACTAACAGGATGAAAACAACCGTAATAGTATTTAACTGGAAATAAATTAGGATCCCCATTTATTGCTAGCATTGTAAATGCCATCAGAGAAAATGGTGATGGGCTGCTTTGCTTATTCAAAGAACCATAAGTATTAGATAATATACTAGCTTTGCTTTTATTTTGTTAACTTTCATGATAACTCATTCTTTGCCAAGACTAAGCAATCAAACCCCAAACTCTATCTTAGGCCCCTGTTATTGATTTTTGTTTAAATATGAACCATAAGAAATGACGATGTTGTTGTAGGCTAGTTTCCACAGGTCAAATTACCTCTTACAGCTTTTTTTTTTTAATGGAGTTCAGCTCTTTATGTTCCATTTCTTTTTTTTTAATCTTTAAAAATCAGTTGGTAACAGCACAGTTACTGCTTTTTATTTCTGTATAATTGAGTAAAATAAAATTTTATTTATCTTTTTTTGACCATTTAATTGCTGTGCCACTTGATTTTCAGGTCTCCTTCTGAGATTTGGGCCCTTAGTGCAGAGTTGCCCTGTGAAAGTGCAGTTTCTTCTCGGTCTTGGCCAGTGTAAGGACAGCTTGTCCATGAGAGTGCAAGCTGCTCCATTCAGTGTACAACTTTTACTCCTTTTGTAGATCCGTAACTGAAGAAGAGAGACATTCTGCTGCTAGGACCACCAGTATGTGAATTGCCCAGTGTTTGGCAGAAGCATAGACTACATTTGCACATGTCCTCACATCCTTCTCAGGCCTTAAGTTAGTTTCCACACCCATGCTACCAGGCCCAGTTCATCAAGCTGTTTTTCCAGTCTTCTCCCTTCCACCCACCCTACTCTTGGCAGGTGAATCTTCATCTATTCTGACTGAGGAGCCTTTGACTCTAGAAGACCTTATGATGGTCTTCTTAATTCTGCTTCAGAGGTTTGCAAAACCCTACAAGTGCTCATAGATCTATCAGGATATCATATGACTTGCTGGTTAGTCTTCTCCAGCATCCCAATAAGCTTTCCCAGCTAGTTTTCTTTTATCCGGTTGACAGGCTCTTTAGTATTTTAGCTCTTCAGTTTCTGCATCAAAAAGTCCAAACTAGAAAAAATGAACACTTACATCTAACTCCCACTGCTGATAATCAGAGCTGAAGGCAAGAAGTACCAACATGCTTGGGAGTCTTGAAGAGAAGACTAGATAGAGACTATGGTGATTTATGAAATACGGTTACCAGTTAAATTACCAAGAATTATATGCATTATGTGAATGTATGGCGCTGCAGCATTTATAGGAGGCCAGAAAACACTTTTTTTTTTTTTTTTTTCCTGGAGGCCTAATAGCATTGCTGTGTGAAGCCAAATTGTGTGTCTGGACTGGGCTCAGTGGATCCAGCACACTGTTCATGTCTCAGGTTGGCTGTTAGCATTGCTATTTTAGACAGCAGTTAGAATTTGCCTTCCCTGGCCCCTTCGTGATGGACCAGAGACCTTCTACTTTTGTGTCATTTACAATCATATAGTTTCCATTCTATAATGTGAAGGAAATGTCTACTGAGCCCTTTAACAAAGTCTTCTGACACACTAGCATGTGGCGGCTCTGCTTCCTTTTCCAAGGAGAGGGTGTATTCAGTATTTTGCTGTATCAGTACTGTTTCTGTTTTACTGCTCTGTAGCAATCTTTATCTTAAGTCTACTTCAGAAGAATAGGAAATCTCTCCTGTTTCTGTAGCTGTAGGCTTCTTGGAGATTTCACATGCTGATTCCGCAACATTTTATAATACAAATTAGATCATCTTCAAAATCAAGGAGAGGTAAATTAGCATGTTTCATTTTTAATTAAAAGGTATGTGGCATACCCAAACCTCAGATTTCCACTAGGTTTGAATTTCCAGTGTGTTGACTGCCACTAAAGAAAGTACAAAGCTCTCCAAGATGATTTCTATATGCACAAACTATCTTTTATTTCCTCAGACAGGATTCTGTCCTCTGTATTGTAAGTTTCTTCACTCATTTACTGACTACATTTTTCGTTAAATTGATTTTTGCTTCAGTTAGACTTACGTACATCATCTTGAAAATTACCAATCTCAGCTGTTACTTGTATAAATGGCCATTTTGAGAACGTCATCAGAGTAAGCACTGCAGGCTCATCTTTATGCTTAAACACTCAGTCTTCAGTTTGATGAGGTACTTAAACATGTACAGATCCCACTGTCTTCACTAAGGCTGAATTGAGGTCTTGTCTCTCAAGATGATAATTCAAGAATAAATAGATCACAAGATATTTTTTTTGGCTGAATAAGTTGTCTTAAGCTGTTTTCAGAGTGTCAGCTTTAAAGTTTTGTGCTTTCAAAATCCTTTGTATTTTACCTCCACTATTTAAGACCAAGCTCAATCCAGAATGTTGTTTAATTTTCTTCTTTTTTTTAATAATTTATTTACCAATATAAAGTCTGAATAAGAACAACAGCCTTTCCCATCAGAAAAACAACATTTTTGAGACTGTTTTCTGTATCAGGGATGGAACAATGAAAATGAGAGATTATTCTGAGGTTTTTAGTGAATTGTCAGCAACTCATTGTGTTTTCAATGTATTTTTTCAACAAATGATTTATTTAAAATTATGAATAAGGCAATTCATCTCATAGAAACTTTTTCCTTTGTAGTGGTAATTCTCCAAGAAGGCCTTATACAAAGGGAGCACCGTGCAGTAAGTGTGCGAAAGAGGACACCTGTGAAAATAAATTGTGCAGTAAGTACAAGCAAATGCAAAGTATAATATGTAAGTCAGCCACTACTTGATAAAGAATGTTGTAAATGGTTTTACTCAGTGCTGGTGTACTCTCATGTCCAATTCACAAATAATTTAAAGGCATTCTTAAGGCCATTTATGTTCAAAATATGAATAAGTAAAACATATTTTACTGAATCTGGGCCTCAATGATCATTATAAAGTCTCCCTTTAATGCCAAGTGTATATAATTAATAATTGTAGTTAAATGCATTACTTCATTTAAAAAAATAGGCTCATGATTTTCATCTAACAGCTAGTTACTAACTTTAATCATTATATATGGTAGTATAGTTTAGAAATAGGGTCTTAATTTTTAGGTACCAGACACCTCTGAAATAGAAGGACTACCAGGTTATACTTGATCACAGAGTTAGGTGCCACTTGAGAATCAGTTTGTCTTTATCATCCATAAAATTGTATTTGATAGTATTTTCTAGTTTATGTGTATATTCGGAATATTAAAAAGTATTTGCTATTTTGAGAAAGACAAAAGAGGATTCCAATGGAAAATAAAAAGACCCTGTAGTATGTCCCTCTCCTCCATTTTTTTTATTGTTATAAGCAGTAATATCTTTATGGAGTTATTAATATATTATAAAGTACTGTTGTTTAGCTTTTAGGAAATGTTTCAGCTTTTGTTTTATTTTTAAGGTTTATCATTGAGAATTCTGAGAGTTTGTCAGATTTTCTTAGTTGTAAATCTGATTAATTTGCTTTAGTTCACTAATAAAGATAAGCAGAAAGAAATTAAAGCTGGCTGCTAGAACTGTTCCTTTTTTTCTTTTTTCCAGGAAATCCACAACGTGATAAAATTATCCGTACGTATTATATTTTTACACTGTTACTTATATTGTCTAGTTACTATAGATAGGTTTAGTCACAGTAAGACTTGTATTTATGTGCTTATTTATAGGTTATCCAAGATGGCATCCCCCCTGGGAATTCAGGATTGTATGTGATGAGGCTTGTATTGCTGTTGCAGTTTTGAGACCATCGGTGATGTTTCTTGCTTTTATAGCTGTTTATTTTATAAAAAAGCGTTTTGTAAACATGCATATGTCCACATAACTCGGTTTGAAATACATACTGTCTCCTCAGTGTAATCTTTAGTGAATTAAGCAAACAGGTCATACTAGCATGATTTTAAAGACAACTTTCTTTGACAATAATTTGGTTATTATTTTATGCTTCTTAGACCATGATAACATGCTAGGAAAATATTTGTGGGAAAAATTCTATCTGGGAAAATGTTAAGATTGCATTTGTTAAGATTTGGAACCAGTATCAAATTTGCCAGAAAAGCCATATTTTACTTACAGAATTCAAAGAGAAAAATGTCAATTAAACAGCTGTTAGATTTCACACTAAGCTATTATTTAAAGTGGCCATTGCTTAATTTAGATGCAAAAGAAAGTTAGCATCATATTATGTACTCAGTGCTGTTTTCATAAAACAAAAAAAATCCTGAATAAAAAGCAAAAATTAGATTGTATAGCAAGACAAGATTTTAGAAATCTCTGTGTTTGTGAAGTAGCACAACTTAGTATTTATAAACTAATATATTTATTGTCCCTTATTCAAAATGGGACGTTTCAGATTTATTATTAACTATTTTGTTCCTAACTCCCTCCGAAGAGAAAAAGTTAGTCAAAAGGTTGAAATAGTAATATGATTCATTTTAATCTTTGCATATTCCTTGTTTTAACATATACTGTTAGTTCAGCATATTCTGTCTTAGCATTGCATGTTTCTGGCTTTGTAATTGTTCTGAAGTTTCAATAATAAATTTTATTTGTAAACTTATTCAGGTCTCTTTAATCAATATGGATTTTGCCGCTCTATATCCAAAATATCAAGTTATTCATTAATATGTTTCAATTTCACTTTCATCAAAAGACATATAACAGTTATACAAGAATTTAAAATTATTTTCCTGTCAATATATTTTTTCATGGTTATAGATGAAGCAGAGTGATAAGACTATCCTGACAATTTAAAATACCCTAAAAAAGCTTATGACTATTTTAGTCTTACAGGGTAAATGCCTATATTATTTATTATATTACTGCTGAAGTTTAATTATTATTGGATAAAGTTTCACCATTTCTGAAAGCAAACTAATATCCTCCTGCAGTCAAATTCCATCATTAACTTAATGTTCAAGACTGAATTTGATTTTCCAGAAAGTTTCCAGGAGTTTAACTTTCAGAAATAACTTTTCTCATATTTCTTTTTTTCTAGGTAGGTATTTGAAAGTTTAGGTCAAAACATGGTTATTTATTATGAAAATCTATATGATAATTACAGTGATTATGTAAAAAGAATATTTATTCTTATGATAGGAAGTTCTCAAAGAAAATAAACTAGATTTTTATTATAGATAAAGTTGAAACAACGATTAGGCATAAGTGCTAACTGTTTCTTCAGATTGCGATAGGAGATTCTCAAAGAAAATAAACTAGATTTTTTATTGTAAAGTTTAAAACAAGATTAGACATAAGTGCTAACTGTTTCTTCAGATTGCCTATTCTACAATTACTAAAGCACAGCCAAAACTTTTCAAATACAAGCTTTATTTTTTAAAGCTTAGATTACGTTCTCAGATCCAGAAGTCTAAAATTACACACCTAAAGCCGTAAATGGGCAGCTCCTACATACCAGCTTGCCCTGTATGCAAGTTGCTGAGCGCCAGCTGTTCCCACTTGTCCCATTCTTGTGACTGAATCATACATCAGGGCAAACTCAAGAGAGACTTTATGTTTTCAGCCACTCTAATCTGAAAGCAGAAGGGAACAAGTGAGAAAGGTGGATGTAAACATGGGAATTTTCTCAAAATCTTACACAGCTTCCTACCTATTCCTTCCTAATTACACTAGATTTCACTTGAGACTCCTGCAGCGATAGGCAAGGTTGTCCTGTCAAATATTAGGTGGATAGGCCAATCTTAAGGCTTCATTTTACCCTGGTTTACAAGAAAGCATGATTAAGGCTGCCAAAAAAAATCATTCTCTTTTTGTGAAGATCTTGAGCATGGATTGCACATCTTTCAATGCAGAGAGTCTCACTAGATGGAGCTAGAGTCTAGCTCTGCAGAAAAGCAGCGCAGCTTGGAGAGGCCATGGGGAGCTTTCTGCTGCACAAAAGTCTCAAGTCAAAAGTTTCCAAACACAGCTTTTTTTTGCCGGTACTAACAAAAAAGTGCCGGACTGCTAGATTAATAAATGAATCATCATAATTAGGGCTTGTAATTTTACACTAGGACACCCCATGCTGATAGTGTTTCTCTTTCTGGGAGCACAGAAAGCTCTTGCAATAATTTTAGGCTACCAACAATGGTTCATAAAGAATAAAATCAACACATATTCATGACTGGGATATTTAAATCATGCTTTTGCTACATAGCAAACCAGAAGGCCAGAAGGTCTGTTCCACAGTAAGCTGCTGTCCAGGAATGTGTTTTCTGCTAGTGAAGTTAAATTTCAATATATGCAGCTTCTCTAATTCTGTTTATTCTTAGAGCACTTCTGAAACAGGGGAAAGGTCTTATAAAATAATCAACTAAGCACAGATTTGTATTTTGTTAAAGCTATTGTTTTCATGGTTGACACACGTTAGGAAAGCTGTACTGCGGTATGTCTTGATAGACCTAAAATTCCAGAGTTCCTTAGCAAATAATCAAATGGAACAGGTATAAGACAAAAGTTTGCCTCTGCATGACTCCTTGGTGATGAGCATGGCAGATGCCTGTTTCGGTATAGCCTGTGCCAGTGACAGGCAAAATAGTCACCTTGTGAAGCAATTTCACTTCCTGCTGCTTTCAAAATTTCAAGTGTTTCCTCATCTAGAGGATAAACACACCGAAGAACTGCTTGCCAGTTTTATCACCACCTATGAGCTTTTTTTCTGTTAAAAATATAAAAAAAAAGCCTGAAAGCATTGAGGAATTATGAAAATCACATTTTTCTGTGCGGTGTTGTTCTTCCTGGATCTCCTCATTTGCTGCAATGCTTATGCACAGAATCCCTTGCCTGACATAGCAGATGCTAAGTTTATTGAAGACTGTGTGGCAACTCACAACGACTTCCGATCCAAGGTGAACCCCCCAGCCAGCAATATGCTTCGCATGGTAAGGCAGTGTTTGTGATCGGCCTGAAAATCATGTTGATTGTGCTGCTAAAATAATCTATCATCTTCTCCATTTGATTTGTACTTTCTTTCCCTTTCTGTCAGTGATTTCATTAATACATACGATAGTTCTTTGAAAAAAATTGAATAGAAAGAATATTTTTCACAGTGTTGTTCGTTCTTACTAACTTGAAGGGATTTCTTTCTTTAGGGATGGGTTGCTCTGCTAACCTTTAGCCAGTCTTGCTGTATTGTAAAAATATAAATGTTACTCGTCTTTCAGTATTTAATCTACCACTTTTTAAAAGTTATAGTAACTTTTTTTACATTAGTTCATGTTTCATGACACAGGGAGGCTGTTTGGTACTAAAAAGCCCTAGAAGAGTCAATCTGTCCGACAGGATTTCCCAGGGAGATCCAAGGATTTCCCCTTGTTTCTTCCAATCCAAAACACATGCTGTAAAAAGTTCTTGGTTTTGGTTTTGTCAGGGTGTGCATACAGACATCTGACTTCACTTGATATAACATGGTTTGGAGAGTATGGATTTTTGGCCTGGAAAACAGCTTCCTATATATACAACAGATATTGGTAGCTTTCAGCTTATTCAGAGGAATATGTTAATAAAAGATTAAATAAGGACTCACCCTATCAGTGCATACCACTACTTTGAGCCCTGCAACTGTGCAGTTTAGCTGGAAAGGAAGTCAAATGCATAACCGCAGGAATGGTGTGGCTCACTCTGTGAAAGGAACTTCATAAGAAAGGTTTAAAACTCAGACTGCATGCAATTCTAATTTCTTGCCATTTTGTTAAAACCTGTGTTTGGTTAAGAATGATAGAGCACAAGAGCAAACGTAGGTGGTCAGACCAAAGATCCACCAAGTCTACCATGAGCAGGACAAACATACAAGAACATTTTGAATCAAAGTGGTTGCATTACATTTAAAAGCTCTGTATGATTTCTTTTTCCTGGATGATTCTTTTCAAACTTGAGCTGAAAAAATTAAAATTTTTACTATCCCCATATCCTATAGCAAAATGCCTAAAGGTGTTTGAATTCAGCTGACTCCATATCCTATAGCAAATATCTGCCTAAAGGTGTTTGAATTCAGCTGAATCATTGCAGTGCGGGTTATGTTTTGTTTTCTTCTCATTCCACAGTCCTGGGACTCTGCTTTAGCTAAAACTGCCAAGGCATGGGCAAAGAAGTGCCAGTTTAAGCACAATATCTACCTTAAGGAGCCAGGGAAGGTGCACCCCACCTTTACACCCGTTGGAGAAAACATCTGGACTGGCACGGCCACCATCTTCTCTGTGGATGTAGCTCTCAGTGACTGGTTTAGTGAAGTTGGAAGCTATGATTTCTATACCAATAGCTGCTCGGGCCAGTGCGGTCACTATACCCAGGTGAGTCTTACTTATCCAGAGGTTTATAACCTAGCGATTTCACAGGATCAAAGTGTAGGCTTGGATCAGAGTGCTTTGGAACAGAAATTACAACAGGGATTTCTTTTCTCCATTCTAGTGCTGGATGAGTTTGGAAATAGAAAAGAGCAGGAGGGCTGTCTGGGCCCTATTCTCGCCATGGAAATGGACTATCCCCCTGGCAATTTCAAACTGATGTCATCTCTGAACTTCATAATTTAACAAAAAACACAAGTATTAGCACCTTGCTCCTTGCCACAAGGCATGTCTGTGCCAGGCTAGGACATGCTCTTGGGTCCTACCACATACACAAAAGCTTCTGTGACTCGTGCTGATACAGGTATTGAGACTAGGTACCTTTCAGAGCAGAAATACCTTCTAGAAAAAACAGGAGGCATGCTTGAAGCTCACCACTAGAGACCTAAATCTTAAGAGACTTTATGACTTTTTAAGAGACTTTATGTTCTCTTTTTAATTAAACATAATGTTTATTTGAAAGATTTATAAACGGTCAAAGAGGTCCACAGGACATAAATGTGTCCTGATTGTATCACCGTCTCGGCAGCGTGCAGCGTATCTAGACAGCGCTTACCCTGAAGGTAGGATGCTCATTACCAAGCTTGCTCAGTTTTGGCCATTAAAAACACAAACACACACACACACACATACATATATATATATATTGAGAGAGAGAGAGAAACAGATATTAGAAGCTGAGAAAACAATATATTGCTTTCTCTTAATCCATAGCCTTTTAATAAGGCTACAAATATAAGTCATCTATTTTCATGTTTCCAGGGGAACCCGACCATAAATGTAGAAAAATCAGTTAATCATTTGCCTCAGCTTCCCTTTATGTCTTTAGGTTCCTGCTGTTGTTTCTGTGCTGGCTGTTTTAAACTCCCACAAGAGCCCTTCACTCTAGTCATGGCTTCCTTTCTTAATCCTGTGAAATCTAGTAGCTTTTTCAGTGTTTCAATGGGCACATTACATATCTCACTTTGCCTTTCAGGTTGTTTGGGCCACAAGTTACAAGGTTGGCTGTGCAGTTCACTTCTGTGAAACAGTTAAAAATTTTCCAGGACTCTTCAAAGCAGCACATTTTGTTTGTAACTATGGACCAGCGTAAGTCAGTTACAACCTTTGGGTTTTTCATTATTTTTGAAACACTCTCTAACCGGTCTGGTATCAGATGTTACCAACAGTAACATCTTAACAAAGATGCAATCTTAACAAACCACACAAAAAAATACAACTGGTTGAGAGGAAGTTCCCCAAGCCGTTTAAAGTAGAGGCTGCTGCTCTCAGCCTTGACTGCAGAAAATCCCTTTCTGAAAAAAAAAACTGGTGAGCAGATTTCACTCAGAGCATTGACCATTAGGAAGAGTGGTGGAACTGTATCCATTTTGACTTCAGCTTCTGCAGGAAAACAGTTTGACTCGAGGATCTTGAAGGTCTTTTCCAACCATAATGATTCTATGAAAAGATAAAAAAGTGCAAACTTTCCATTTAACAAATAGTCCACCTCTCTACAGCCCGCCCTAGACTTCAAAACTAGATATTTTAAATGAAGAAGTAAAAGGAAGACACTCTTCTGGTTTATCCTATGCATTGCAGTTTCTGGACATAGATTTTACAGATTGTGGGTTGTTTTTTTTTAGCATGAGGGTAATGAGGGACTAGGTGCAGATCCCTGTACCCTATGCAGAGAGGTGCAGTGTTCCTCACAAGGCCTGATCACTGTCCATGGTCACCACGCACCCGCTCCCCATGTGACTGAGAGCTTCAGTCTGACCCAGAAGCAATTTAAAACTACCGTAAGAATTGTTTTTTTTTGCTAAAGCTATTTTTCCTCCATAATGTCTTCCCATGATGAATTATTCTAACATCTTGATGAAACAGTGTATTGCTCTTCAAAAAAAAAAAAAAAAACAGATAACAAAATATGATTCTTCTGCTTTTCAGGGGAAATTACCCAACAAAACCTTATAAAGTAGGACAGTCATGCAGTGGATGCAGTAATGACAAGTGTGCAAACAATCTCTGTGGTAAGACTAAAGCAAAAAAAAAAAAGGGAGGGGGGGGAATTATTGATAAAAGTACCATAATTATCAATGGAAATACAGTTGTGAGTCAATTTGCACTACTTACTTTCATAGCAGATCTGTAGCCCACCAAAAAGCAACACTGCTAAGAAGAGAGTAAGAAAAAGTAATTGGAATACTCTAATACTTTGCCCTTTAAGGCCCTCAGTTACAGAAACTACAGTTTTCAATGGAAAGATAAATAATTTCAATCACTTTCCACCTCTTTATCTGATCAAAAAGTTAAATCTAAAACATTATCCCCAACAAATATTCCTCTCTGGTTCCTTTCTCTTAGGAAAAAACAGCATATTTAGCTTTGCTTTCTGGCTTTGTTTAATATGTCCTATCACATTCCCAGAAAACTATAGAGTTCTGAGTGAGCAACTGAAAAACACAGCTATTTCTAACTTCTGTGATTTTCTGAAATACAGCAATAAGAGCCTTTTTTTGCACAATAGTTTGCAGGAGTGGATATTTTTTGATTATGCTAGTTCCAAATTAGAGTCAGAAATAGTATTTTAAATGAATGACATGCAGCTGACCCACAACTATGTGAACTTATGAACTATCATAAAGATTTTAGAGCAGTTCTCTGCTAGCCCTCACCCAGGTAGATTCATCTGTAGAAACAAAAGAACATTTGGTATTCCGATTTCCTTCTGTGGTATCCTGGCTGAAGCACAGACTGATGCACCGTAGGATAACCACAAACCTCTCAGGATGCGGGGGTGGATGAGAGCTTTTAGGAGTTGCATGGTAGATCCTGAAAGCAGCATAAGATCCCTTAAGGCAAGTCCGTAATTCCTGCAGGCTGCACACAGAAAGCTATGCAAATGCATCACAGCTCTTAACAAAGATGTGATGAATTTTGTACTTAGTGAGATTTGTCCATCTGTAACTGCTTTATTTAAATTAGTTTTGTGTTCAAACTGTGTTCAGTTTCAATAAAATAATATTAGACCCACCTAAGCGCTGGGAACCTGCTCGTGTTGACTTAGTTCCTCCCTTGTGGGATATTTTCAACACTGACTGGCACTGAAGGTGCCCTCAGCCAGGCAGCAGCAATGGCTCACCTATTTTCATTGATAACCATTTATGAATGTTTACTAATGAAATGATAATTAATGAATGGTAATTAATGGCTGATACTCACAATTGCTTTCTTTTCTGATCTCTCAACAGAAAACACAGAACGTGAGAAACTGATCAGTATGTATCAAGTTGTTCTTCATCACTTTCCTACAAGTCCAGGTACATTTTGCGGGTTTTAACGGCTGTTCCCTTGCTGTTTTTTAGGCTATGCCAACTGGTACCCAGACTGGAAGGCGGCCCCGCAGCCCCCGCGCCCGCGTCCCCCCCGGCCCCCTGCCCCGCGGCCTCCCGTCCGCCCGCCCACGGTGCCTCCCGCGGGGCGGCCTCGCACCTCGTGCGACAGCTACTGCCTCAGCGTCGCGATCCTGAGGCCGTTGTTTTTGGTCCTGAGTGCCGGGGGAGTTCTTCTAGTACAACACTGGTATCCCCATGCGTTTATGTATGTGTAGTGAGCATCTAGGACGCTGAGAGTTATCCTGCAGCCACATCACTGTGGGAGAATTGCACACATCTGAAAAACACTCGTGGTCCTCTCTTGCTGCTATCCCGGTGATGATTGTCCAGCACGGAGAAGGCTATTTTTCTACTCAAGGCAAGATTCAAGTGGCTGTGCAGTGGCTAAAGCTAGTAGGACTTATGAGCATGGCTGTAGCTCTAACCTACTTTAATGCCTCTGAGAGTTTCTGAGATCTGGCCCAGATAGTGGATATGTAACTGTATTTACTGCTTTTTAAGTACATTAAGATTAAAACTTGTCCTATACTTAATTTTCCTTTGTGTATCAATTTCCATTAAAGTTATTCTGTTACTGTCACTTAACATTCTGTTGTTCTCCTCTCAGAGTTAAGCTTTGTCCTCCATAGCTAAAAGGGTATCAAGGAAGGCTAACAGGGTATTGAGGAAGGTTAACACAGCAAAGATTGAGATGGGCTGTCTGGGAACAGCTGAGTTTTAAAATATGAGATGATGAAAACATCTGAAGATACAGAGCTAAAGCAGGAGGGAAGAGAGTCAGTCTGAGCCTGCAGGCAGAGGGGGAGAAAATGAAGATGTCAATGAGCATGAAAGGGGCCCAAGACAGTCTTTTTCGGAAATGAAGAGCTCAGCCTTCCTGAGACAGCCCAAATGACTGATGAGTCCAGTTTGTATATATAACCATTCAGCCCCCAGACACCTTTTATCTACTTCATTTGTGAACAGAAGTAAACAAACCCATATTTCAAGCTAAGATAGACTGTATGAAATCAGAAGTGCTTAGCTGTGCTATCAATATTTAAAGCTGTTTCTCCTCATTTATCTTAGTCCTGTGTTTTGAGCCCTCAGTGATTCAAATCCTGAATGTCTCTGCAGCTCAGAGCGAGCATAGCATCCAGCAGAATAAATACGGTCCCTAAGGGTTCAGACTCTTGTTATGTGCTACAGAATGTCACCGTGCAAGATGGATACTTTCACCATTGTTAGTTCTTGTCCATCACAATCTTGAATATTTAGAGATAAATAAAGATTTAAATGCCTGACCTTCAACAGGACGCCAAAGGAGGGTGATGGAGATGATGGGTCTGGGCAGGAGGGGCTGGGTACCTGAAACACCACAAGTGGGAGGTCAGTGAGGGACTCAGGGTTGTGCAGCCCAGAGCTGGACACCCCAACATTCGGCCACACCAAGCCCCATGGCACCCGGCTCTATGGGGCGGTCGAATCAGTGGGAATGATTTAGGAATTGTTATGGCTGCGGAGCAGAAATGGATACTCACACACAGCTCAGGGGTGGGATCACAGGAGAGAATCACCCGTGACTGCAGCATGTTTGACTTGCAGTCCTTAGCCAATCTTATCCCTCCAAAAACTCAACGGATGCCAAAGTGACTGCTCATATTACAGTAAATTCATGGTTTAGCTAAATAGATTTGTCACGGCATTTTAGTTTAGAGTAACAGCTTTAAAAGTAATGTTATTTTCATTAAAAAAAAATGCAGGAAACCAAAACTTTATTGTAACCCATACCATATGCATTAAGAAAAAAAGATGTAGGGGCTAAAACAAAACAAAAAAAAAGAATTTAAAAACAGGGGGTCAAAGTACAGGAGAGTGGCAGCTTGCCCACCTCAAAAAAAATAAATAAAAAAGGAAGAAAGAAAGGGAAAAAAAGGAGAAAGAACGCTCCTGCAGCTCTGGTGAACTCAAAGCTTAATTTCCCTATTCTCATAGCAACGCTGCTCAAAGTGACTCATTTCCTGACACAAATACCATGCATCAAGATAAAGTCCAGCCCACAAGCCTTCCAAGCAGACGCTGCCTGCACAGTTAAAAGCACCTTATACAGCTGAACTTTTGTTCTTCTTTTAAAGCCGAAGATGAGAGGCTGAGAACCATGGCAAGCAGACTTTTTACTCATGTGCTGGCCTTACTGCACTTCTGTCCTTCTTACAGCTCCTATGGACCATCTGCATTGCCTGATATTGAAGATCCAGCATTTATTGAGGAGTGTGTGAGCACCCACAACAGATTCCGGTCCACAGTGAATCCGGAAGCTAGCAACATGCTTTACATGGTAAGGGACCTTCACAGCTGACCTGCAAGTGGGTAACATTGCAATGGTGCTTAAAAGACTCAGAAATTATTTTGTAACTACGGGCTCTAGAAGGAAAAGAGGGGAGGGCCATAACAGCAATTTTTTTAAGGCAGACAATAAGACTGAGATTATCAGATAGGTTGATGTGGTAAGTGGATATATTTGTGCATTGTTTTGCATTGCTTAATTACCAAATTCTGAAAGTCAAGATTTCAACCTACAACCTTATGCTGCAGCTTTGCACTGTGAAAAGCCTCCTCAATCCCAGGCACTGCAGTTCGACTGTCCAGGGTGTAATTTTGATGCAGACTGAGCAAAACTTTCACGTTCAAAGTGGTGAGGACAGAGAAGATTACCAAATCCTTTGCATAGCTTTCTTTTACACTTTCTCAGCAGGACTCTCACAGCCAGGGAGCCAAACGAGAATTATGAACAGCTGCTCCTGAGCACAGGGGCTGCAGGGGGCTCAAAAGGGAAGAGGAACAAGTGCAGCAGAAATGACTGCTGAGACTTCCGCCCACACAACATTTTGCCTTTCTGCTTTCTCTCTTCTCACTAGTATGATATCTACAAGCACAGTGCAAGTATATATATATATATATATATATATATATACATAAGATATATAAAATATATAAAATACACATAGAGAAAAATATATCCTAAATCCCCTGAAAGTGGCCTACAGCGAGGAGGAGGCTGCAACTGCATACACAAAGCTGTTATACCTGGGGACAGGCCCATCCTGGAGCTGTTCTGATCCAGAAGGTTGGGAGCTGCCTCTCATTCTCTTGCTTTGCTGGGTAACCATGGTGTTATTCAGTGTTTCCTCTTGGGATCATCTCCCCAAATCTTTCATATGGATCGTAGCTACTGCCAAGTTCTGATCTCCCTTTCTTCAGTCGCTTCTTTTAACATCCTACACAGTCACCACCAGAACAGAACCCCAGAGATAATTAAAAAAAAAGCCCATTTTCTATTTCTGGTGATCAAACTCTAACAAAGGTAGTGGCAATTCACTTACTTCTTGCTTCAGATTTCTTCAACTGGACATTAAGAATTATATCCAGTGTGATTTGGAGCTGCCAGTGCATATTGTTCCAGACCCTATCAAGATTATTTTATTGGCCTTTCACTAGGAAGATCTTAGTACATTTTATTGAGGACAGCATTTGTCTTTTAAAATTACCATGATTTTGTGCCTGATTTTTCCTTTTAAAATGCCAAAGAGTTGAAATTCTTCCCCCTGAAAAAAGGCTTAAAAAAAAAAAGGTTATTGCAACTAACACAATAATTCAAATCATGATAACTTTAATTTTCATCATTTTCTAGTCTTAAGTATGAGTTCTCCCAGGAAACTGTTAACGTGAAAGAAGCAGTACAATGCATGACAAAGTCTATTATGAAAGTAAAAGTAATGGAATTGCAAACAGCATGTTTATTAATTTTTAAATGGCTTTTAGCATTTTGAAAATGAGGAAGGAAGATGATTTCTTTATGCCACAGGGAACTTCATTTTAATGTAGGTAATTGTCTGTTTAAATACATAAAAATGAAGAGTGTGAATTCCGGGCATTTCTATCATTGAAAAAGCATTTTTTTAATAGAGACTACAAGTAACAACACACAACCAGCGACATTTGTAACACTTCTGTTAAAAAATAAGAATGCTGAATCACACTTTTTTTCTTTGACTAAGGTGACTCCTCTTACCTGTTCTGTATTACACATTCTCCTAAATTGCTTTTAAGTCTGATCCAAGGCTCTGCAAAATGAGCAGAAAGATTCACACTAGTTTCACTAGGGATTCACAAAGAGACTTTCAAACGCCTCATGGTTTTGCATATTCTACTTTGCTGCTGCCTTGCATTACTAGTCAGCAGTCAAATGATCAATTTTCCTTCCTCAAATCAAAGAACAGCTCATCCTAGCTGTGGAATTATTTCTGAGAGATACTTGGTGGAAAAAGACATGCAATTATTTTTTCCCAAACAGCTATGATATTTGTAAGAAAACCTGCATGTCCTGTGCATTTTCCCCCCATGCGGGTTAGTATTTTCACTTCACAAGTAAAATCAGCATAATGAGTCTTCTTAAACTAACAATCAGACACAACTCTGTAAATATAAATGTTTGCACACACTCCAATAGCTGACTTATTCAAGCACTTACAGAAAAAAAAGGAAAGTATCTTGAAACTGAATTATCGTTAATACCGTTATATGAGCATCATTAATACTATTACACAATCACAGACTCACAAGATGGCTGAGGTTGGAAGGGACTTCTGGAGGTCATCTAGCCCAACTCCCCTGCATCAGCAAGGTCACCTAGAGCATGTTGTCCAGGATTGGGTCCAGGAGGCTTTTGAATATCTCCAAGGAAGGAGAGAAAACACCTACAGTACAAACAAAGACCTTCCTATAACCCTATACAATCTGAATAGGCAATCAAATGAGTGATTGCCCAATGCAAATTCAGCTCTAACATTTGGGGTCACAAAATACAAAGGGTTGAGCTTAATTTCTCCCAAAATTCCAACATGCTTATGAATACTCCATGTGATTGATTTACACATCTCATTATTCAAGAGAACAACTGACCAAGGTGACCAACTACCCCCAAAACTCCGTTATATTTAATGAGCAACTAAACACAAATCAGACATGAATCTGTAAAATGATGTAGCATAAGGTTCTGTGAGTCTCAACAGAAGCAATAAACAAGTAAAACTGCAACATGTAAGATACTGATATCCGGTTTTATCCACATTACAGCTGAATTACTCCTGCTTAATTACTGCTCTGGTAAGATACCTCTGTGATTTTTAATTGTCCTTATTTTGCAGAGCTGGGATCCAGATTTAGCGAAGACTGCAAAAGCTTGGGCAAAGAAATGCATATTCGAACACAATATCTACCTCAAAGAGCCAGGGAAAGCTCACCCCAAATTCACTCCTGTTGGAGAAAACCTGTGGACAGGCTCATTTCAGATTTTTTCTGCAAAAGAAGCCATCACTTCTTGGTTTAATGAGGTCAATTACTACTCTTATGAGACCAATAGCTGTAGACGAGTGTGCGGTCATTACACGCAGGTAGGTATTGCATTTCACTACCTAAGCCATGAGCCTGTGTTGCTGGTCACACACAGAACCTTTTAGCTGCATACAGGATGTGAGGTTGAACTTACTGCCTTGCCAGAAGACTTCTTCTTGTCGGATGACAAAACAAGGATTTGGCCACAGGTCTTAACATGCCTGTCTTTTCAGATCGTTTGGGCTACAAGTTACAAATGCGGCTGTGCTGTTCACTTTTGTCCAAGCGTGACGGGCTTCTCTGGAACCAACGCAGCACATTTTATTTGCAACTATGGACCGGCGTAAGCTTTTTTTATTACAAAAATTTTACAAGTTTTCTGCCTGGCTGCTGCCATCCCGCAGCTCATAGCCTTATGTGATCAGGCCAGCCATCTCACTAACAGTCATGTTTTGTGGAGGGAAAAGGTGTCCAAAAGAGAAAGATGTTCACCCTGACCACCAAACTGTTTGTGGCTTAATGAGGACTACAGATCATAGCCAAAAAACAATGGCACTGGCAGAAAGGGTAAAATACAAGATGCTGAAATTAGCATACTAAAGCAATCATTTGAAAACTGATCTATTGCTCTTGAGTGCCAAGAGGGCCCCAGATGGTTGCCAAGGCACAGGCCCAAAGTCTGCAAATATTTACACATTGGCCTGCATAATTAAGCCTGTAGCTCAATGGTTTGGATAAATATTGAGAGAGCAATGTGCAGTGCTTTAACTCACAGTCTTAGCATCAGTATGAGAATCTGGAGTTGTGTGGCTGGGCCTGCTCAAGGCACAAATTCATCCAGAGATCCTTCTGAAAGGGCAAAGATGTGGTGCTGCTTGTTACTGCATTAGATATGCATCATTTGTAGGATATTAACTGCCACTAGGATGGATTTTTTAAAACCTTCTTCACCTAATTAATGCCACCACAGTTTAAACCTAAATCTAAAAACTTTATGTACATAATGTTTTGGGCCAAGCCTATGACAACCCATGAACTCAAGGAGGTTTGGCGTTGCTATTGCCCATCCTTTGTCCTCAAAGAACCAACCTTGTTTCCCCAACAAGATGCCTTGAAATGGCCCGGATCTTTTTCTGTGCCAAAGCACAAAAACATTCCCCACACAGCCCTACACTCCATGTTAGTAGGTCGGGAGAAAAACGGACGACCAGTCCTTACTGTGACATTTAGTTGAGGTCAGTTTTGAAGGTTAGCCCTGCTCAGGAAAGGCTTTAGGCAGCTAAATCCGACTTAGACACCTAATTCCTTTTAGAATTTCCAGTATCTTGTTGGTTGACGGTGTCAGTTCCCTAGCTAAAATCCAGTGGTTGCCCAGGTTGTCCTCTCCCTTGCTGTCTTGATCCTTGCTATGCAGCCTCTCAGTGCTGGAAGGCAAGGGGACCCCTGGATCGAGATTCCCTTCCCTTTATATATATAAATATATATAAATACCTAGCAGTTGGCCTGGATCAAGATTCCCTTGGTGCTGATGAAATCATAACATAAATATATATAAATACCTAGCAGTTGACTAGCAGTTAACGTTCTGCTCATGAGGGTGGTTTCAGAGTAGTGTCGCTTTACTTTGCAGTGGCAACTACCCAAGGCGCCCGTACGAGAGGGGACCAGCATGTAGCAAGTGCCAGGGCGATCAGTGCACCAACAACCTGTGCAGTAAGTACAAGACAAGCAACCTTCCTCCCCAGGGACACATAGAAAAGCAAAGGTCCCTGAAAGGATGCTGGCGGGACATGATGCTCAGCAGCCTCCAGCTCCTGAAGGATGCACTGCGAGGTCAAGGTTTCTGTGGTGCTTATGGAGAGGGGAACATGGCCAGTTTTCTATGGTGGGATGGCGTCTGCTCCAGATGCTGCTGGTCATGCAGGTCACAGCCTGGGTCATGCAGCGGCTGCCATTTAAGATGTTGTTCTCCTTATTTGTTCCCCCTCCCCTGCCAGAAGCACTGAATTTGTTGGTAAAAGCTGTAATTTTGGGAAAACACCTGGGAGATCGGAGGAAAGAACTGTAGCTTGCAGGAAAGAAATCTAGCTCCCATGTAAAGCTTCCTAGCTTACTGAGAGGCTCACAGTTAATTGCCTTTTGCTTAGACGCAAGCTACTGCTGAGGTTTCAGTCTGCTTATGCTCATTTCTTTTCTGTCTCCAGAAAATGCTGAGCGTGACAAAGTCATTAGTAAGTATCACCAAAATTACTACTTCTGTTTGTTGCCTCTGGTGCAGATATGCCGGAAAACAAGTAATCTGTTTTGTTTATAGGTGATTCCAGATGGTATCCAGACTGGGACAGACCTGCATGTGATGAGTACTGCATCTCCGTTATTGTTTTAAGGCTGTTATTCTTCACACTGGTGATTCCAGCCACCTGGATTGTCCAGAAATACTGGTCCGTAGCACCTGCCAGTGAATAACACACATGCAGAAGACTGTAAGAGCAGTTAGGTCAGTTCGTTCCTGTCCTATGCACAAGGTACTGGCAGCAGAAAGATCTGTAGAGCAACTGATTGCATCCACAGATGATTTAGAGATACAAAATGATCACCTTTGTTCCCTCCTGCAGCTAGGAAAGCTGGCGGCAGCCTCCATGTTCCGAACCCACCCTTGGTTTTTCTTGTTTTCCTGAAGCGGAGCAGTGTCCGAGGGGCCCGGGGGTGCCCGCACGTGCTCCGTAGCTGGCCAGCTAAATGAACATTTAACAGACTGGTTTTGGACCCCTGTAAGCTTCTTAATCCGCAGCCTGCAGTTCGTTCCCCAGTCTCACTGTGCACTGAGAGTGCTGGTGCTTCTCTCTTTAGGATCTGCTCTCAGACACTTGCTTTGTCTATACCGGGAAGCTTCACCTGTGCTTACATGTGGTTATGTACGGCCTCAATCTTTCTTCTCTCTCTCTCTCTCTCTCAACAACCTTAAAACCATTATAACGATTTAAAAACATGGATCTTAATATCCCTGCTGGCCTCTCTGTGAAAGAGCCAAACCCAAATCCCTCTGCCAAACCAGGCAGACTGAAGTCTTAAAATATACAAGCTTCACTGCAAAAGCAAAGCTGGGTCTATCTGTGAAAAAGGGCAGTTACTTTCCTCCTCATGTGTCTTCTTGCTTTTTGGGAAAAGCAGCGCAGAGGCAGCAGAACTGCCTTTGCTCTTGCACAGAGGAGCTCCCACACTGGTACAGAGCCTGGTTCAGCGTCCAGGTCCTACTGCTAAGAGAAGCGCAGGAGAGGGAAGGTCATGGGCTATGGTGTCCAGGGAGCCGGCGTGAGCTCAGCTGGAATCTCTCCTGCTGCATTTAGTCTTTGCTTGTTCTGCAGGACTGTGAACAGGACAAACACAGAGCCCCTAAAGGTTAAAACATTCACAGTGCTGCGTTTTTAACCACGTACTTCAGAAGCCCTAAGGAAATTCCAAATAAAAAGCTTCATTAAAAAAAGCCACAAGTCAGTGGGGCTCAGAAAAAATAAAAACACCATCAAAATCAACAAGCCTTACAACACAGAATCTTTCAGACAAAATACCATTTTAAAGGACAACCAAAAATCCAGATACTTCCCTCCTGACCACCAAAACACTTCAGTTGTCTATTCCTGTTTTAAGACATATGCTCTCAACTTCCATGTAATAAATGTAAAATGTGGTAAGTTGTCACTCTAAAATACAGCTTTCCACTACTTTTTCACTACTCTGTGACCTCCAAAACTAGCAGAAATGATTTGCAGTAGTTCACACTGTTCCTGAGAATACCAAAAATACTTTCTCAGCCTTCCAAATTCACATTTTTTTTCTGTTCTTTAGGGGTTTTTTCATATACAAATAAGTGTTAGAATTGTAAAGCCACATTCTCTCTGCAAATGGAAGGCAAAAGCACCAGTAGTAACAGCACGGACTAAGAGTATGCAGCCAGTCTCCCTTTGTATATAGACACTAATTACTTGTCTAAAGGGCTAGAAGTGGGTTTTCTTGATTTTCCAGTTTAACTAAGTAAATATCCAGCCAACAATCCTTGAAACTTGTCAGCCATAACAAGTTAAAAAGATTGAACACAATGAAAAGCTTTTTCACCCCCTGGCAGGAGAAGGAAAAGACTCCCTGAAGTCTGCCAGGGATTTTACTATAGAGTTGAGGCAAAATCTGCATAGATGCCACAGCTGTGGGTAAGAAGCCCAAAATTCCCAAGGCCCAGCTCCAAGAGCAGGCTGCCACCGGGACGAGCTGGGCATCCCTGCATTGCTGCTCTGCCCACGGAGCTGGGAAACAGCCACATTTTGCAGGGGATATGAAGTTAGCGCTTGCACTAGCACTCAAGCAACTATTGGTGATCACAGGGCCATACTCAGCCTTGCTCTTAATTGTAACCCTTTAAGAAGCCACTAGATCACCCTGTGACATTTAAACTGGCATGCTTCATCTCCTTTGGTAGCACAGCACCTGCTGAAACTAGTTATTGTGGCAGAGAAGAGGACAGAATGCTCTATTACTATGAGATAACAAAGGGGACTGAGAACATTCTTCCCCCTTCACTGAGTTGTTGCAAGAAGTGATCATGAAACTCAAGACCACTGTTGATCCTCACCCTAAATTTTAGCTGCTTCCCAGTGCACATGTACTGATTGTTCAATCACAGCTACCTCAAGTCCTTATTCATACGTGTAGACAAGGAAAGGGTTGTGTTTTCACCTTTTAATTTCAAACAAAATGTTACCAACCTAAAAGCAGGGAGGTGCAGTGCTCTAGCAATATCATTTGCACTGCATTTGCAGGCAACCAGAATTCCAAAATCTGGCAAAAACATTCAGACACGATCATGAATTTTGTGTTGCTCTGTAACATTTGCTTCTCTAATCTGAGACGTTAAATAACATCAGCTGTTCTTGTAACTGTTTCATCACACCACATTCCAGGAAACCAAAAACCTCTGAACTTCCTTTAAAGAAGGGGCTCAGTTAAATACATAACCCTATCTCTTATAACCCAATCTATTCAAAAATAACTATCCTTAGAGAAAGGTATCAGTTTATCCTGTAGCACTATTCAACATGGAAGGACATCTGCTTTGTAACACATTCTGTCCAAGGCAACATTAACACATGGAAGCTTATTAACACAAATCAGTTGATTAGGTGACTTGAAGAAGAGAAGGCTGAGAGGAGATTTGATCAACATGGGGGACATGTAGGGAAGATGGGGCCAGGCTCTTCTCTGTGGTGGCTGCTGACACGACAACGGGGAATGGGTACAAGTTGAAACATAAGAAATTTAATCTCCATGTGAGGAAGAACATCTTTCCTGTGAGGGTGGCAGAGCCCTGGAAGAGGCTGCCCAGACAGGCTGTGGAGTCTCCTTCTCTGGAGATCTTCCAAACCCACCTGGATGCCACCCTGCGCCCCATGCTCTGGGTGCCCCTGCTGGAGCAGGGGTGCTGGACTAGCTGATCTCTAGAGGTCCCTTCTAGCCTCAGCCATTCTGTGATTCTGTGAACACGTTATAGCTGTTTAATTCTCACCTTAAACTAGGAAATGTTTTCCAGAAAACCAAGACAGAGGTTTTGGGGTAGATGACTTATTTAGACAACTGAAGAACAAATTTATTAAAAATAGTTTATTAACACCAAGACAAGACACAATAATAATTAGCTTTTACAGAAACAAAAGCATATAGTAATAGATCTTGTCTGTTTTGCAAAAGTTATCATTGTAACTGAGGCTGCTTCTAGTTTAATAGTCTTTCACAAAAAAAGATTACCTTGGCCTCCCACCGAGTTCTCAGAACCTGATGTCTAAGAGTTTGTGCCAACCTCCTAAAATGATTGTATTACAAAACTCTTCTTTTAGAAACATGGGTATTATCCAACTACAGTTTTACTTTCTCAAGCAATACGTCAGAGCATGTTTTCTTCATCAGCCTTGACTATTTTATACAGCTGCTTTAGCTCCATTATTTAAGCGTGTTTAGGAGAAGAGAATTATCTCTACCTGGTCCTTCCTCATGTAAACTATATGCTGACATCAATAAGTTGTTAAACTTTAAGTCTCAAATCTCCCAAATATGAAAATGTTTTTTAGAATAGGAGAAAAGTAAGCATCTTGGGTAGTGAATTATTTCTTTTTCTTTTTTTTCTTTTCATCTGCTGCAATCTTCAGTTTGACTTCTTCCACTGGAAGCGCTCCTAATTTCTTCTTCTTTGCATTCTTTACTTTTTCCTTTATAGCTTCAATATCAATTTTCTTCTCAGTGGAGGCTATGCAGTAAAAAAAGCACAAGAATAATAAACATGAATTTTACTTTTTCCACATTATAGCAGTCTGCAAGATGACTACACATCTACAAACACTGAATTCTGTCCTGCAGCACTGGTTGAGATTCTGCTTTATATTACTAAGGATTCTAAAAGCCATTATAATAACTTTTATTGAAACTATTTTACTATTTTTCACAAGCATCTTTGAGCAAAATTCAGAGAAGATAAAAAAAAAAAAAAAAAACAACAAAAAAAAACCTCTACATCTGCATCTGAAAATGTGCCACACACTGCACATACACAAACTATCATCATCCTCCCCTTAGATATTCCACTAATTAACACATAATCACTGTTTTGGGGCTATGCCCCACCAAGACGAGGGCTGAAGTTTATCAGCGAGTTCTTACACTTGGAGAACCATTCATGCCATTCCATCCTTCTCCATTTAACTAAGACGATGGGCTCCCACACACGCCTGTCCCATTCTTACGCTCCTTCCCTGGCCATGCACCACTGGCCACTGTTGAAAACAGAATCTGTGGGGCAGGGAGGAGACACTTTTGATCCAACTCTGTGATTTTTTTCGTATGAAATTTCTGCAGAGAGTGTCAGGGGACTTCAGGTAGATGCTTAATGCTGAGCAGTGTCAATAATCTACTCTGCTAGCCCAGTTGTGGTGCTTTCCCTTTTGGGCAAGAGCCATGGGTTTGGATCCAAAAAAAAAACAATTCCTACCTCCAACAGTTGGTATCAGCTGTCCGTTTAGGATCTCCTCTAAATTCAAAATATTGTTATAATTTATTCTTGGAAGACTAAAGGATTTAAGTTCAAAACAGAACAGCTGGGAGAGCACAGTATTTGAGTTATTTGAAATAGCAGAATTTTGAAAGTTTACTGTCATCACACACACACACACACACACACACAAGTGCTGTATAATGAATAAGAGCATCGGAACACAGATTCTTCTCAAAAAAAAAGTGGGGGGGGGAGGTCTGTAAGAAGCTTCTGTGTAATATACACAATAACAGGTGCACAGTATATCTACTGCAATAAATCTGTAGTAAAATCAGCGAATCCAGAAAGCTTGTATTGGATTTTATGCACTAAAGAAATATCTGTGGAAGAATACAAAGTTCTTACGCTTCATACAGCGTGAAATTTACTGCTAACTTTAAGAAAAACTACTACTCTATCTTACACCAACACTTACTTGTGACACAACTTTCCAAGAAAGTATTGCTTTTGGCTTTCTTTAAACAAAAAGCATGCATTTGAGTGCAAAAACTATGCAGCTTCACTACAACTCACAAGCTCAGCACTGATGTCGTCAAAAGGACTAGTTCAGGCAGCCTCTGTACTTCCATCATGAGGCTGCTCCCCAGAAAACTGCCATTGTATAGAGCTATGGGCTGTTTGATCTTTCTGCTCTCCCTAGAAACCCAGGGTTGGATTTAACTGTTAGGATTGCTTTTCTTCAGTTCTTTTACTGCCTTCAGCTACATGGATACATAATCAGTTAGCCTAAGAACCAACTGCAGAAAGTTTAAGAACAAGAAAAAGTTACCTTTCTTGGCTTTCACAACTGGTTTTTCCTTTGGTGGAATAAAAGCTTTATTTCTTTCTTCTTGTCTTTTCTTAATTGCATCTGCTTGTTTTGCCTAAAGTTAACAATAAAGATACCAAGCACAGGTCAAAGGGACAAAAATGAAAGTGAGAGCAGTCAAATAATTGTTAAATGAATGGTGAGAACAACTTTACCTTTATCTCTTCTAATCGCTTTCGTTTCTTCTGACTTTCTTTCAAGAAGTATTCGCCACTTGCCAATTCCTTATCAATCTGCACAGACAAATAAAGAGAAGCTTGAAATAATTATGTACTATCAGCCATATATGCACTATCAGGAAATCAGACTTGACAGAAGAGGGCTTCAAACTTGTTGCAGCCAAGATCAAGATTTCCAAACATCTTATACCCTCGTGCAATCAACTTCAGCTGACCTGACTTTCTGGCTGTGGAGGTGGGAATGGTGTATACTCCTTCTTAACGTTCTTCTTCTTTGGCTCCTTCCGTTTCTTCAAGTTCTTCCGTTTGAACTTCGGCAAAAACCTTTCCCAATTTTGTGATCTCAGTTCAGGATCTTTTGATAATTCCCTTTTGATCATCAAAGTCTTCAGTAGTTTTAGAACATCATAGAGAAGTTATTAAAAACACACAAAAAACAACCAACCAACCAAAAAAAGCTATTACAATAGTACCCAAGATCTCCAACTTTTAAATTTTGCTAAACTCTCTAATCTCGCTATTTATTAAACTCTCAGTCTTCATCACCTGAACCTTCCACCTCTCACTGTAATAAAGAGATTAGTCGCAGGGAGGTTAACTGTGAACAGCTGAACCAGAAAAACAAACATGTCTCAAGACAGGGGCTAAACCCCCAGGAAGAGATGCTCAGTTTACAAGAGCACATCAGGCAATCAATCATGAGCGGAAGGAAAGTCAATGCACACTTTTCCTTTGGTGTTTTCTCAGATATTGTTAATGATATGATGGCAATATACCCTAGGGAAAAGGAAGATATCAAACTGAGATTTTTTTTTAAAGCCCAGTCTAGAAGTTCTAAAAAATAAACTACCAGAAGGCAAAAAAATAGTATATTGTCCTACAGTAAGAAATAGTACTTTATTGGAAACAAAGATGCACACTGAGACATACTCACCTTGATGTTATATATGGGATGTATATTCTTCATTGTGTCCAGAACAACTTTTCTAACCTATATTTAATAAAAAGGAAAAAAGAATTTAAAAAGTTTAGCAAGTATATCAAATTCTAATCAAATTTTGATATTGAATTAAAATTTCTCAGAGTGAAACTTGGAAAGGAATTTAAAAACATTCCCCATCACTCCAAAATTGTAGATAGCTTGAAAAAGCTAACCTGCTCAGCCAAATTGAAGACACACTAGTTCAGAAATATCACTAGTCTGTCATGTTTCTAATACATCCCAGCACACATAATGCTTCCTTGCTACTATAGATTTTACAGCATCGTGTGAAAATTTTTCTTTTCACAAGCATTCCCTACTTACATCTTACTAAAAAACATTAGATGCTCCCTTAGCTTACATGGCATTAACACTGCAATATTTCCACTCCTAAGCTTCTTATTTGAAAACCCACATAAATTCTCCATTGTAGGCAACATAAACACAAGCAGAAATAGAGAAAAATAAAAATATTACTTAGAAACATCTGAAGACATCCTCCCCACTTTTCTTCTTTCTTTCCCAATTGAAAAAAAAAAAGAGGGGGGTATTTTACAAAGCGTCCTTACTTCAAGGACAGAAGGAAGTCAGAGACTAAAAGAAAATGAGCAGCTAAGCGTATGGCCACCGAGGTAAACAGAGGTTACTAACACAGAGCTGAAAATCAGTGAGACCCTTCTCAGATCCTGCTTTTAATGATCATGCCCTAGAGCTGGGCCCAGAATTTCGCTGCACAAAATATCCATGTCTCCCCTTACCTCCTTTAGCCCACTGAAAGGTCCAAGGGCTGAGACAGTGTTTCCTTGCACCATAATATAACAGTTTGTTAACAGTTCCAGGGCCTACACACACAAGCAGAGAAAGAAGAAAAGGAACAAGAAATAAGCCACCAAGCTGACAAAGATTCAGGTTTAAGAACTTCACAGTCACTACACCTATAGGAAATACCTTCAAAGTAGATCCTTTTGGCCCAAGAAGTCGTCCTCTTCTTTTTATAAAGCTTTCTCTTTTTCTTACTAAAGATCCTATTTTAATGATATCACATGCAACATCATCCTGTAGGATGCGGACTGCCTAAAGACACAAGAAGCAGATGACACCGTCTGAATGCAGACGCACGACTTAGAGCAGTCAGGGAAATACCAGGGATCATTCTTCTCACCTCAGGTGACTACCTCTAAGTCCCAAACTTTGAAAATGTAATATTCTTTAACACTTAACAATACAATTTGTTACAAACTGACAAGATTTAGTACAGACCTGTTCAAATGGAACACTTCTTGCTAGAAGTTTTATTAAATCTCTAGCCCTGATGATTGCATAGGGATCAAAAGTCTTCTTAGTGGTAGTGACAGTCATGCTACCTTCAATCAGATCCAGCGTTGCATTCACAAACTGCAAATTTGACGAGAAATAGTGAATTAATCCCTAAACAAGAATATCTCAGAATTCAGCTCAGCATTAAGATGTTAAGAAACAGAACACTATACTGTGAATGAAGATCCATTTTCAAGAATTTCTAAAATAACTTCCAGCTTAAGAAAAATAAAAAAAAATGACTGAATATGTATGTCACAAGGCCTGAAACATCACCTCTCCCATCTCTTTCTACTTGGGTGCAATTGAGTTATGAGTTTCTAGACTCTTGCTGCTGCACTGAGCTTCACTGAAAGTTTAACTATCATAAGGAAATGTAGGCCTAGCTACACAGACCTCCACTGAAATAACACACTATAACAAATTCTAAATGCAAGCATATTCTGAATATAAACACACGCAATACTGGAGAGGTGACCCACACTACTTGCACTAGCTTATGCAATATCTCTATGTCCTAGGCAATAAAATATGGTATTATAATAAACAACTCTTCATACGTGTTCGCTCAAGGCTTTCTGGACCAGTGGCCAGCACTCTTTCAAGTACGCTTCTCTGTACTTTGGGAATAACGTTGCAAAACTGCTTTCTTCCAGCAGCCCTCTAGGATTGTCCTCTCTGGTGAAGGCCGGCTCTTTCCATCCATCTGGGACGGTGAGGAGCTCAGATTCATCGACTGTGAACAGAACAGCAATGTCTGCTCAAACCCTTTTTGTCGTTATCAGCGGCTGTTCTCCCTCCTCCCCACGTAACTACACAACAGGGACTAACCCGAAGCAGGCGCTCGGCTGGGCTCGTGCAGCGCCCGGTTACGTGTCATGCCTGCCTCTGAAGAAACTATTGATCCAAAGAGTTATACATAAACGTGTGTATATGTATATGTGTGTGCGTATATATATATATATATAAGCATATGTCAGATTTACGTGCTACTCGCAAACACACACGCACAGAAAAATTCCAATCGGTTTCCATCATGACGGCTGCATTTTAACATGTGCATTATGTGTGTATTTATATGTATGTGTGTCTGTGTGTATAAATATATATATAAAACGCCACATGCTCCACACAGAGGAAGGCCCAGCGCAGGCCTTCCCCGCCAGGCGCGGCCCCCCAC